ACTCCTTTAATAGGAGGAAAAGGGCTAAAGTTGTATGTAATAATTCTAAGGACAGACTTTAGTTCTGTCCTAGATCCTCTTTTTTTTTTTTTTTTTTTGGTCCTGGGAATAAAACTCGGGACCTTACACTTGCCCCTCATTCTTTGAGCCTTTGATATGATAACTTATAAAATAATTTCATTGTTTGCGTGAAAAACCTACTGTAACAAGTATTACATGTTTTCTCTCATGTGGAATCTAGGGAAAAAAGGCGACACGAGAGTGGAAGGAAGACTATCAGAGAAGATAAAGGGGAAGAGGGAGAGGTGAGAGGAGACTGAGGAAGGATACTAGGGGGTGGAAATAATCAAAGTATGTTATATACATGTACAAAAATGCCACAGTGGAAACCATGACTGTATAATCAAAGTGCTGTAATAATAATAATAATAATAATAATAATAATAATAATAATAATAATAAAACCTCCACTGCAAAAATCCATGACACATTCTAGCCAAAGCATTTCTCTTTCATTCCTGGTAGGAGATCACAGACTGAAATGTTTTCTAAGTCAACCATGGAGATCATAAGTGAATTTTAAATGCCCTAGTCCTCAATACTTTAGAAGAAAAAAATTAAGGATAAAAACAAATAAAATGAGTGGATTAATATGAATGCATAAAGGATATTAATATAGGGATGCTGGCAATCCCATAAAAATACTATAAAGTAAAGAAGCATGCAATTTACTAAAGAGTCTAGATTTAGTGAAAAGAGCATCCAAATGATAAAGAACTGATTGCTTCACATCACAAAGTATTTATTACTAAGGGATTTTGTTATTACTTTAGTACAATGAGAAGAAGCAACAAATATTTACAAAGATTTAAAAGGTACTTAAAAGGTATTTTATCCTTTGTAAATAAAAATATGAGAAAAGGAAAAAAATGGAAACAAAGTCTTTGTAAATAGGGAAGGGTGGAGGAGGTGAAGGGAGGGCAGGTGTGCAGGGAAAAAATGAAAATCAAGACCTGTCATATAAAGGTACAAGATCCCAATGATGAATGTAACTGTACTGTATACCTAAAATGTACCAGTAAACTCAATGAAAAAAAAAAAATGATGTCAGAAGATGTGAGCTTGACCAAAGAAGAGCAATACAACACTCAAAAACAAAATTACCTGGTTTCACTGGGCGCTGCTTAATCTCAAGCAAGAGGTGTGATGGGGGAGATATTTTTACTCCATTATTGTGGTCAACATTGTTGAAATATTGGAACTTCTGCAAGGAAAGAAAAAAGTGAACAAGATAGGAACCAAATCACTCATAACAAACACACTACAACAAACCTTGCCAAGACAGACAAGTCATGAGGATACCTGCCCTGCAGTCCATTAGAGTTTGGATGGGACTGTTGTGGAACTGTTTTAATTTCTCCCTATTACAGTGTTTTTATCTCTTGATTTGGGATCAAATCTTTCAGACTTTTATTGTTAATTATATTATGACTGGTAATGGGTGTCTTTTATCAGGTTTGGAAAGTTTATTTCCATTCCTTATCTGCTGCGAGGTTGTGCAGAATTGAATGCTGAACTTTTTTTTTCATTTATTGAGATGACCATTATATAGTTTTGAACGTGTCAAAATGAAATTTTAAACATATGGCTCCATTGTTTTTAAGCCTGCATAAATTCTGATAAAAAAATCAGCTCTCATTTTCACCTTTGTTTTTCTGAATACAATGGGACTTTCCTGACTACTTTTAAGACTTTCTCTTCATTCCAGGTTTTAAGAAATTTGTTGGTAATATGTTCTGGCATATTTTTCTTTGTGTTTCTTTTGCTTAGCATTTTTGAGCTTATTGGAGCTGTAGATTTAGTTTCCATCAAATTTGGGAAACTTTCACCATTATTTCTTTTAGGTTTCTAATTTTTTTCTTTCTGCTTGCTTCCAACGACTACAAATTATGCTACACAAGGCTTTTCCGTGGCATAACTCCATTCATTTTTAAGTCTTTTTTATATTTTTAATTTTAAATAGCTTTTACTTGCTATACTTTAATTTTTTAAACCCTTTTTCTTCAATGTTTACCATTGAGTTTATTCAGTACACATTATCCTGTTTTTAATCTTTTAACATTTTGTGTCTTTTTCATGTTTTCCATGTTTCTAACACTTTCAATCTACAGTTATAATAAGCTCAACAAATGCTAAGCAAAAGAAACATTCCAGGAACTCCTTTTATCTATTGATATCAATCTTGCATATCCTATAATTTCAATTGTAGATTTCCTTACTTCCTTGACTTTTCTTGATTTGTTTCTTCTCATTCACACATTTATATTATTTTGCTGTATTTTATGCATTCACAACTACTAGATGTCTTGCATCTCTTCTGTTATAAATACCTACAAAATGTACATGAAAGCAATCATCTAAAGAAAGAGGGTAGGCACTGACATATAAGTGATAAAACTGCAATTAGCAAGTAATTACTTCATTATATTTCCATCAGTCTTTAATTAAAAATGTATTGTGTATCATTAGAGGTATCTACAAAATTCTTACCAATTTATTATGCTAAGGATTTTAAATCCCTGAATTTTGAGTAAAGGCATTGTATCAATTTATTAAGTGAATCTACCACTTAGCAAAGTCAATGAGAAAGTCAAAATCAACTTTGTAAAAGCAGATACCTCTAGAGAAAGCTATTGAACAGCTCACTACATCTGAAAAGAAATGACTCATGGAGACTACACAATATCACAGTGGAGAGTTTAGAATTATTAGTGTCATCCTCCAGAGATATATCCAAATGGCTTTCTACAACCCCTTCCCCATCTCATAGTGGATCACCACGACACATGCTGAATATAAATTTCCTTTCCCTCTGCCTAACTAAATAAGTAAACCATAAATCTAGAATTCGAGTTTCAAAATCCCTATATTTTCCTGAAAAAAGGGACACAATTCCAAAGCAATTAAACAATTGTAGAGATTACATTGCTAGTTAGGCTCAATACTGGAATCAGACTCCAAGTTCCTTGATTTAATTATCTGATATTTTTATTAGATCCACACTGCATATTTCCTAGAAAAAATTTTAGTTCCTCCCCCCTCAGGATTGAAGTCAGGACCTTGAACTTGTCAGAAAAGCAGGGTGCCACTGAGCTACATCCCCAGCCCCAAAAATGTTTAGTTGCTAGGATTATTTTCCCAGTATAAATTAATTCTATTGAGTTTGGCAAATTTTAAAATGTAACCAATCGTCCTACTTTGTTAAAACTTCTACATGGTTTGAAATTCTATTTCATGTGAAGGGGTTAAAGATCAGGCTGAACTTCAGCAGGTCACAAAAGGTCTCAGCCACTCAGAGTCCTGTAGTGCCAGCCACATGTAGCTGTACTTTTCCTCTTTTCAGGTTTCCAGATGAAAAATACAAGTTAGTAGGATGTACAGTTTTCTCCAGAACAAAATACTTATTTTTTATTTTAATTCATTAATTTAGGGCAGGGAAAATGGTTATTCAGAGATGTTTTACTTAGTACATTCAAAATTTTGTTGAGAAATATTTATCATCTATAAATAAACAGGGCCAACTAACTGAGAGTAGGGTCAAAGATAAAATAATATAAGTATTTACTTTGATGATTTACATTGGTGCTTTTTTGTTTTTAGTGAAAACTAGATTTTTAGGATATATTTTCTTGAACAAAAAAGAGGTCATTAAGGTTTAGGTTTCACAAGGACTGCTTACTGAAGAGCAAACAAGCATTTCAAATTTATGATTTGAGAGGGCAAAAATAACAAGTTACAAGAAATATTTCCTACCAGACACAACTGAATTGTATGTAGAACTTGAAAAAAATGAAGTATAATCACTCAGGACAATATAATACTTCTGCCTTCATTTGATTTGCAGTTTGTTCGTGGTGCTTTAAAGAAAAAAAAAATCCTTTCTGGTTAAATAGTGCTGATTTTTCCATCCATAGAAACCAAATGCTTTTATGATTCATCATTTAAAGCCTTTGTATCTTAGCAAACAGTAAGCACACAATGAGGATTTATGAATAGAAGGTCAGCTTCTTGTAGGGCTTAATGAGTGAAAGTGTGTAAAGAGAAGTGCAGCTGCTGCTGTTATTGCAGAGCAACCTGTTTATCCACATTTGAACAAGTAAATAGACACCTCAAGTCACCAAGGGGGGCTAAGTAGATGGAGAGAAAATGAAACAGTCAGAGTTAACGATGATTTGTGTCTCTGGAATCTAATTATACAGACAGTACAAGCCCTCTACATTGAAGAGTGAAAATGAGAACCTTTGCTGTGATATATAAGCTGCTCATACTGGTCTAACAAGCTATGTTTGGTGTTTTCCTGTATATAACCTTATTTTATAAAATATATTTCCTTAATAAAGTATCATTTACTCATAAAAATAACTTTAACATACACTATGATTCATGCTGCATTTTATTTTATTTCTGTAAAATTAATACACTAAAAGGTGTACTTACACTTTTTGGCTAAGTATAATAATGCATAAAATACAGCAAAATAATATAAATTTGTGAATGAAAGAAGAAAAAATCAAGAAAGATCAAGGAAGTAAGGTAACTAGTGTGGAAATCTACAATTAAAATTGTAGGATATGCAAGTTTGATATCAGTAGATGAAAGGAGTTCCTGGAAAGTTTCATATTTCCTGAAGTATATCAAATATAAATATTTATTACCTAGGAGAAACACTTCAAATTATAGGCAAGGAGATAGAGTATAGTACTGGAAAGCCAGAATAATTTGGTTAAAATTATAGCTTCACTCACATATTAGATAACCCTTGGAAGTCTAATTTTACAATTAATGCCCAATAGTTTCATTCATTGTATGAGGATGAAAATAGTGTTGACCTCAGAAGCTTGTTTTGATAATTAGATGAAATAATGCATGCAAATAACTTAATGTAGTCTCTGAGAATTATATGATTTAGTTAAAATTTAGCTATTTTCTTCCTTTTTCAGGAGAAAATATGAGATGATCCTTAGTTTAAATTCTCTGCAAAGTTAAGAGTCTATCAAAGTTCATCCTGTGGTCAGAGATGCTCGATAAACTCCCTGTTTACCTCTGAACTGGGGGATCTGAAGACACTGACAGTGGAACAAGGTTATCTTCATCTCTCTCCATGGTAGATTTTCACAACGTACAACACAGGAAACAAAGGTAAAATAATTAATTATGACTTTATTCACAAATCTCCACACTTGTTTCACTCATGATTTAGCATTAGAATGAAATACACATCAAATAAGGCATAGTCTAACAGAAGTAAAAGTGGTGTGTGACATTGATCTAAATCTGTTCTAATATCAAAGAATACCCTACAAAGTGTTATAAATAGAAGTTGTATGACCCAATATACTGTAACTTTGGTGCCACTATGTGCCTTCAATTCCTAGTTTATACTAAATAAGCTGTTGGCTCATAGGCAAATCACTGAACTCTTCAAACATTTATTTCTTGATGCAAAAGCAGCATTGTTAATAGATCAGTGGGTTGTTTTAATAGTTAGAAATCAAATATAAAATTATATGATAACTAGTGGTAAATTTTGCTCTATACACATTTTGTGAAAAATAGAGCATATATTTTATTTATCATCTTTCAAATCTGATAAAAATTAATCTCTGAAAGAAATTGGTACAGTATTTGGATCTTAGCTGGTTTGGTGGAGAGAGTAATCAGTTTTGACATATTACCAAATTTTGTAAACATACCAACTTTTCCGTTGCTGAGACACAATGCCAACACCCACAATTTAAAAGAGGATACGGTTAATGGGGCTCACTGTTTCAGAGGATCCAGTCCCAGGTTGGGTTGAGAAGGCAGAAACATGGATGAATCATGTGATAGAAAAGAGCTGATTAGTTCACATTGGCTTGGAAACCGCTGGTGGATAGACCCAAATGAGGATCCATGGGCCACATGTATTACTAAAAGTCACACCTTCATGATCCAAACAGAAACACCCAGAAATATGCTTTACTAATCTCCTTGGGGTCTCCCAAACCAATCAAAATGACACAATTAAGCTTAACTACCACACATATACATTTATATATAT